AATTTTATAATTTTTTCACTTCATACCACACGTATGTAATAAATGCAGTCGTGTCCTCATACCAGTATTAATTAATTTAGAAATAAACTATCTGAACTCAAACCCAATTTTCTGCTAGGTACATCAGCTATTAGAAATCACTGATATAAGAGATTAATATGCAGTTCACTTCTATGTAAATATTCCTTTACAAATTTAAATAATATTGATATCATTATTGATATTCATTAATAGCAATAAACTGTTGAAAATGTTTATATCAGTTAGAAAAGATGATCGCAGCGGATGACAATAATGACGATTTGAAAGTGACACAAAATAACGATGTTCTTGCCGCATCTTCAACCAGTGAAGTGAATGAAATCTTTGGTTGGTTTCATTTATCATTATTGTTAATGTTGTCATTGAAATTAGCAACAATAATATTGTTATTATAAATGTTACAATTATTAATTTTTTTCCTGTTTATAAAAATTTTTAACCTAAATTTACCTATTTATGAATATTTATAAAATTTACCACTCAATCGATCACCGAGCATAACCGAGCAAGAGTTCGGTTGGGATATTCGACTGAAAAATAATTTTCAATAAATGGAAAAATAAGTTCACAATACATTTCTAGCAAAAATGGTTGGGAAGAAATTGAATTTTATAAAGAATCCGGTTCGGTTGGCCAGAATGCATACGGCAATCATGAACGTGCTGCAGCAGGCGATTGCAGATCAGTATGATGACGAGCATAAAGATTGAGTTTTTAAATGATAAGCATAATGATTTAATTGATGTATTTATTGACGGTTTTGAGTGCTTTTTAATCATATTATATTAATGTATACGTGATACGATTTGTGTTTTATATTTTTATTTTACTGTTGTTATTTGTTATGACTATTATTATTATTATTGTTATTATTGTTTTTGTTATTGCTGTTGTTGTGATATTGAATGGTGGAGGATATGAATAAATCGTTGTTCGGTTGAATTGCTGAATAAATAAGTTGATGATTGGTTATTTTATACCATTGTTATGCGTACATTTCGAGTTTGAAATTGTTGTGGTTCCATTTGAAAATTAGTTTTGTCCTTTTGACGACTTTTTTTCATTCAATTAAGGAGAGTAACTGTTTGTGTTTATTTGGCGTAAATATTTTGTGATTTGTGATCGATGAGTATATGATTAATAGAACACTGAAAGAAATAATGATATTAATCTTAAGATGAGTTGTAAATAATATTTTTGGGGGACAAGTGGAAGGGTTCATTAGGGAAAGGACTAGTGAACCGCGTGATATTGTGAGAAGACTGCATCTTACAGGATCTAGGTAATTAATTATCTAGGAAGTAGTCTCGTTATAGCATACTACATGGTTACTTTACCTCTCCATATTTCGTTCCTGTAGCATTTGGGAATGCGAATGCATGTTAACCAAAATTAACGCATATTATAAATATATTTATGTACATTACAAATAATTTATCGTGTTAAAAACAAATATTTTTATGTGATATATTGAGATGGAAATCTGCATTGAGTAGGTTTTCGTTTGCTTTGATGCGGTCACGCCCGAAACAATTTGATCAAAATTATTTATGGTCATCGTTAGTGTTGTAGAATGCTACCGAACAACAACAATAACCGTAATAACAACGGAGATCTATCAAAGTTCCGTCAGTATCTCAGCCAACATGTCACTCAGATGTCAACACCTCCAGCAGTAGCCACAGCAGCACAACCCTTGTTTATGACTGATGCGCGAATGGGACCGCTGAATTTTAATATTAATCAAACACCTGGTCAGTTTTCGTATTATAGTGTTAATTGTTGTTGTTTTTATGGAATATATTTGTTCATTTATTGAAGTATTAAAATTAGTGACTAGGAGTGATAATTAAAATTCAGGCGGAGTTAATTTGTTGACTAGAGCAGGAGTAGGCGTAGTACCACGACCACAACCGCCTCTAATGCCATTTATGGTGCCGTCACCATCGACTTCTTTCGTCAATGAACAGCTCTTGAATCAACCATTCAATAATAACAATAATAATAGTCCTTTATTCAGTGGACATCAACGGGGATATCGATTCAATGTTTGTTCTATTCATTTTCCTTTTTATCATTAATCATGACATTACGAAGGTTTCATTGTAAAGTAATTATATCTGTTTTAAATCAAGCATATCCATCTTAATTCAGTTAAATCCATCTTAAGTCAAATAATTTGTTTATGACAATACAATACAAATGCTCATAATGATCACAGTAACAGTGATAGTATCAGTGAACTTGATAAATAATTGTGTTTGGTGTAATACGATGACAATGAATATGTAATAAATGATAAGTAATTAATCGAAATGAATCAGTAAATTGAAGAGAGCTGATTTGACTCCAAATCAACAGCCATATCAGCAAAGACACCAGCAGCAGCAACAACAGCAACAGATCTCTACATTCAGAAATAGGAATATGAATATGGATGGTAATGAGAATATAATTCATCGTGAGTTTATTTATTATCATAGGATTCATTCAGTTGACTATTAACGGTAATAACAATAGTTTCAATGACAGTAGTGATAAAAATAATAATATTAATGATAATAAGCATAATTGAGCTGGTAATAATGTTGATGACATTCGAGGTAATACAAATGATA